TATATTCACCCAATACAGGAGCACCCAGATTCATAAAGCAAGTCCTTAGAGACCTACAAAGTGACTTAGACTCCCACACAATAATAATGGGAGAATTTAACACCCCACTGTCAATAGTAGGCAGATAAACAAGAAAGTAGGTTAACAAGGATATCCAGAACCTGAACTCAGCTCTGCAACAAGCAGACCTAACAGACATCTACAGAAGTCTCCACTCCAAATCAACAGAATATATATTCTTTTCAATACCACATCACACTTATTCTAAAATTGACCACATAATTGGAAGTAAAGAACTCCTCAGCAAATGTAAAAGAACAGAAATCACGACAGTCTCTCAGACCACAGTGTAATCAAATTAGAACTCAGAATTAAGAAACTCACTCAACACCACACAACTACATGGAAACTGAACAACTTGCTCCTGAATAACTACTGGATAAATAACGAAATGAGGGCAGAAATAAAGATGTTCTTTGAAACCAGTGAGAACAAAGACACAATGTACCAGAATCTCTGGGACACGTTTAAAGCAGTGTGTAGAGGGAAATTTATAGCACTAAATGCCCACAAGAGAAAGCAAGAAAGATCTAAAATTGACACCCTAACATCACAATTAAAAGAACTAGAGAAGGAACAGCAAAAAATTCAAATGCTAGCAGAAGGCAAGAAATAACCAAGATCAGAGCAGAACTGAAAGAGATAGAGACACGAAAAACCCTTCAAAAAAATCAATGAATCCAGGGACTGGTTTTTGGAAAAGATCAATAAAATTGATAGACCACTAGCAAGACTAATAAAGAAGAAAAGAGAGAAGAATCAAATAGATGCAACAAAAAATGATAAAGAGGTATCACCACTGACTCCACAGAAATACAAACTACCATCAGAGAACACTATAAACAGCTCTACGCAAATAAACTAGAAAATCTAGGAGAAATGGATAAATTCCTGGACACATACACTCTCCCAAGACCAAACCAGGAAGAAGTTCAATCTCTGAATAGACCAATAGCAGGCTCTAAAATGAAGCAATAATTAATAGCTACCAACCATAAAAAGTCCAGGACCAGACGGATTCACAGCCGAATTCTACCAGAGGTACAAAGTGGAGCTGGTACTATTCCTTCTAAAACTATTCCATCAATAGAGAAGGAGGGAATCCTCCCTAACTCATTTTATGAGGCCAAACCGAATCCAGCAGCACATCAAAAAGCTTATCCACGAAGATGAAGTTGGCTTCATCCCTGGGATGCAAGGCTGGCTCAACATATGCAAACCAATAAACGTAATCGATCACATAAACAGAACCAACAATAAAAAGCACATGATTATCTCAATAGATGCAGAAAAGGCCTTCAACAAAATTCAACAGCGCTTCATGCTAAAAACTCTCAATAAACTAGGCATTGATGGAACTTATCTCAAAATAATAAGAGCTACTTATGACAAACGCATAGCTGATATCATACTGAATGGGCAAAAGCTGGAAGCATTCCCTTTGAAAACTGGCACAAGACAAGGACCCCCTCTCTCACCACTCTTATTCAACATAGTGTTGGAAATTCTGGCCAGGGCCATCAGGCAGGAGAAAGAAATAAAGGGTATTCAATTAGGAAATGAGGAAGTCAAATTGTCCCTGTTTGTGGATGACATGATTGTATATTTAGAAAACCCCACTGTCTCAGCCCAAAATCTCCTTAAGCTGATAGCAATTTCCGCAAAGTCTCAGGATACAAAATCAATGTGCAAAACTCACAAGCATTCCTATACACCATTAACAGACAAACAGAGAGCCAAATCATGAGTGAACTCCCATTCACAATTGCTACAAAGAGAATAAAATACCCAGGAATCCAACTTACAAGGGATGTGAAGGACCTCTTCAAGGAGAACTACAAACCACTGCTCAACGAAATAAAAGAGGACACAAACAAATGGAAGAATATTCCATGCTCATGGATAGGAATAATCAATTTCATGAAAATGACCATACTGCCCAAAGCAATTTATAGATTCAATGCCATCCCCATCAAGCTACCAATGACTTTCTTCACGCAATTGGAAAAAACTACTTTAAAGTTCATATGGAAGCAAAAAAGAGCCCGCATTGCCAAGACAATCATAAGCAAAAAGAACAAAGCTGGAGGCATCACGCTACCTGACTTCGAACTATACTACAAGGCTACAGTACCCAAAACAACATGGTACTGGTACCAAAACAGAGATATAGACCAATGGAACAGAACAGAGGCCTCAGAAATAATGCCACACATCTACAACCATCTGATCCTTGACAAACCTGACAAAAACAAGAAATGGGGAAAGGATTCCCTATTTAATAAATGGTGCTGGGAAAACTGGCTAGCCATATGTAGAAAGCTGAAACTGGATCCCTTCCTTACTCCTTATACAAAAACTAATTCAAGATGGATTAAAGACTTAAATGTTAGACCTAAAACCATAAAAACCCTAGCAGGAAACCTAGGCAATACCATTCAGGATATAGGCATGGGCAATGACTTCATGACTAAAACACCAAAAGCAATGGCAACAAAGCCAAAATAGACAAATGGGATTTAATTAAACTAGAGAGCTTCCGCACAGCAAAAGAAACTACCATCAGAGTGAACAGGCAACCTACAGAATGGGAGAAAATTTTTGCAATCTACTCATCTGACAAAGGGCTAATATCCAGAATCTACAAAGAACTCAAACAAATTTGCAAGAAAAAAACCAAACAACCTCATGAAAAAGTGGGCAAAAGATATGAATAGACACTTCACAAAAGAAGACACCTATGCAGCCAACAGACACATGAAAAAAAAGCTCATCATCACTGGTCATCAGAGAAATGCAAATCAAAACCACCATGAGATACCATCTCACGCCAGTTAGAATGGCAATCATTAAAAAGTCAGGAAACAACAGATGCTGGAGAGTATGTGGAGAAATAGAAACACTTTTACGCTGTTGGTGGGAGTGTAAATTGGTTCAACCATTGTGGAAGACAGTGTGGCAATTCCTCAAGGATCTAGAACTAGAATTACCATTTGACCCAGAAATCCCATTACAGGGTGTATACTTCCCCACCTCTAGAAACAGATGCCATACAAATGGAGTAGGGTGCTTTGTGTTGAGCACCTGACACTGGTGTATGGTGATGAAAGTCCTCTGTGGCTACCACCACTGGGACTGTACTGGGCCTGACCTGTGGCCATCACAGCAGTGGGCCTTGCCCAAGGTCATTCCCTTCAAGGCAGAGAGTTACCCCAGGTCCTGGGTGTGTCCAGAGATGCAGTCTGGGAGCCAGGGATTAGAGTAAAAAAACCTTCGCAATTTATCTTTTGTTCTGTTCAACTGCAGCTAAGCTGGCACTCCAACTACAATACAGTTTTCCCACTCTTCCCTCCCCTTTGCACAGGTATAGGAATCTCTCCCTGTGGCCACCATCACCACTGGTCCATGGGGAGTTCTGCCAGGCCATCACCAATGTTCACTTAAAGCCCAAGGGCTCTTTCATCAGCTTGTAGTGAATGCTGCCAGGCCTGGGGCTCACCCTGCAGGGCAGTGGGTTCCCCTATGGCCCAGGGCAGGTCCAGAAATGCTGTCTAAGAGCTGAGACCTGGACTTGAGGACCCCAACAGCCTGCTTGTTGCTCTTCTTGTTTCAAATGGAAGGAGTCCTTCACCATAGGTGGGAGAATGCTGTGTCATCCCTGAAGTCAGCACGTCTCGGAGCCCAAGGCCCATGGCTTACTCCCTGCATCTCGCTGGGTGTTATTCAGTGCCCAAGGGCTCTTTAGTCAGCAGGTGATAGGTCCTGCCAGGACTGGGTCCTTTCCTTCAAGGCAATGGGCTCCCTTCTGGCCTAGTGTGTATCTAGAAATGTCGTCCAGGAGCTAGCGCCTGGAAAGGAGCTTTACAACTCTGCCCAGTGCACTATTCTACTGTGATTCAGCTGGTATCAAAGATGCAAGATAATGTCTCCTTTACTGTGTTAATCCATTTTTACACTGCTGTAAAGGACTACCTTTGTTCACTCTCCTCTCCTTAAGCAGAAGTAAGGGGACATTTTAATTGCTGTGAGCTGTACTACCAGGGGTTGGAGGAGGAATGGCACATGGACTCCATTAGTCAGCTGCTGTCTCCCTACGTCACGTGCCACCTGAGTTCACTGGCTCTAAGCCCAGCCCAGCACTAGGAGTTCCCTAGAAACGGCAGTCCTTGTGTCCTAGACCGCCTTACAAGTTTACATAGGACTCTAGAGCGCCTTTGCCCACAGTGGCGAGGCTTGAGAAGAAGCTCAAGTTTCAACTGATGGGAAGGGTGATTCTCCTGGCTTGGGCTGGTCAAAATGCACCCCACACCTGTGTGTGGGCACTGGCTGCACCCTGCATGGATTTGTTTTCAGCTGCGATAGGGCAGCGTTGAGTTCAAGGTAAGTCTTCCACTTGCTGCACTCGCCCTCCCCAAAGTGCACAGACTCTCCATGCTGGTGAATGGAGGAGGGGTAGCATTGGCGGTTCCAGACTACCTCTCTTGCCCTGTGCAATGCCTCTTTCAGTGATATTAAGTTAAAACCAGGTGATGTGATTGCTCACCTAATTCTTGGTTCTTGTGGCAGTGTTTTTTGTGTGCAGATAGTTGTTGAAATCTGATGGTCCAGTGAAGGGAGATGGGATGAGTAGCGTAGGTTTCTATTGTGCCATCTTCCTCTATGCCCTGCCAAGGTGACTTTTCTTTCACCCAGTCAATGTGAATGTGTAGGAAACTTTCTTGTAACCATTAGAGTTACAACTTAGGTTCCACATGGTATTATAATCAAATGGACTTCATCTGTTATGATAAGATGGCTCACAACACTGTGGATGCTACCATGTGTTGGGCAAGGGTTTTATTCCTCTGATTAAAGCAACAGTGGGTGATGGAAGTAGAAAAAAGTGGTGAATTGATTTGATTCTTCTCAGTTTGTCCAACTAGATATATGCTTCTCTGCAGGGCTGTGTGTTCCAGAAGTCTGATACCATGGACCGCATCACCTTGGCTTCCTGGCTGTCTGGTTAGTGATTTGAGCAATGAGAGGCAGCAGCTAGAAATGAAAGAGTAGAAGAAGAGAGTGTCTCCTGACACTGTGTGCATGGTCTCCACTCAGCCTCAGATTCCTGTAAGTCAGCTGCATCCAGATTTCCACCGGCTTCCCCGTCCCGAGAAGGTTACATTTGGCCGCCACTAAGATCTGAGAAAAACCTCTTCAGAGGAATTTTGGCCAAATCTTCTCTCCCTGTTCTACAGCCACTTTCCTTCTGAATTTCTTACTTGTGAGTTTCACTTCTGGAAACAAAAGTCAAGTTCTCTAGGTGAACACTGAGTAGCCCCAATCTTCCAGTAAATTTGAAGTGTAGGAAGTTTTCCTCGTTTAAACTCAGAACACCATCCAATCCCTGGGGAGCGTGCCTCTCTGGTCTCCAACCCACCCAGAATTCCAGTGTGAATAGACATCCACAGGTGGGTGAGTGGTCAGAGTTCACATGATTGTTTGTGATTGCCTTCTTTACCAGGCCTCCATTGTTAGGCTACTCTTTGCAAGATGGGAAATAGTTGGTACTAGTTGTTTTGGGGGCATTAGCCAAGTCGGAAACTGGACAGAGTTCCACTTGAATGTGCTGCTGCTCTAGTTTGGGTAACTTTACTGTCTATGTATATATCCAAGTACTGCTTGGCACAGTTGAGTTTCTCTTTGGTACATAATTCTGTGCTACTTGTTTCCTCACTCAGTATGATGGTGAAATTTATTCACTTGTAACTCTGTATCCCAAATTCTGTCTCTTCTGTTATGTGGCCATGGAGTGTAGGAGGTTGGCTGCTCTTGTGGCTTTGGCTCCTTCTTGCCCTGCCTGCTGTTCTTTCAGCCTCCATTCCCCACCTATTTTCCACCTCACAGCCACTGTATGATGCTGGACTGCAGGTAAACAGTCACCAACATAGCAGTGTCCAGGCAGCATTCCTCCCAACAGTGCACCCAGGAGGCCCTTCTACCTGGCAGCCTCTAACCTCTCCTCTCCATCCTACAGCCAGCTGCATCCTCTGAGGAGAGGCTGGTGGCTCCTTTTTGGCAATGCTGCATCAGTGCAGGGACAGAGAAAGTGACAGAGACAAAGAGGATAGTGAAAAGGACATAGAGCAGTTTAATTTTCTACCATATAAAAAATCTGGAAGAGACCTGGCTAAGGGGAGAGAGAGTAACAGCCCCTTAGATGTGGTGGGGGAGGGGACACAGGCAGGGGCTCTGGGGAATGCTGGACAGATTGTGAGAACACAGGGAATTGGGGAGGAGAGAAAGAGGGGACAGAGGACTGCTTGCAGGCTTATTTTGCATCTCACGTGAAAGGACTAGAGAAATGCCTGGAATTTGTGATGGCTTTAATGGTTCACCTTATGTAAATTTCATCTTACTCCTCACTTAGGCTTGCCCATGTTCACCATGGCTCTGACCTCTTTGCTCTCCCTGTCCCCTCTTCAGCTTTAACTCTCACTTGTCAGTGACCAATTGCCCACATAGTTCCCATTTCAGGTTTCTCAGAATGAGTATATGACTTGCTCAGCACATTGCTTGGGGACAGAGCTTCTTCAACGGGAGCCATCTCATGTGTGTTGTTGTCCTATCAGGTGGCTTCACTTCAGTCAAATGAATTCTATTTGGCTGTAGCCTGAGAAGGTTTGTTTGACATGCCACAAAAAAAGCAACCAGAGCATTCTATACTTTCCTGGGGACAAAGAGCAGAGGTGTTGCCTCTGGAAGGCTCTGTGGATATGATATTGGCAGTGTTAAAACATATCCCAAAGCCCCAGCCCAACTCTTGGTCTGCTCTTAAACAATGTCTTTTCACTAGGGCAAGCATTGGGTTTTAGAGGGGAACACCAGGGCTGTCTCTCCAAAATGGCTAGGGATTAGAGTCTTTGGTCCTTGAATGCCAAGTACTACATCACTTCGACTTTGCAGTGTTTTTCAGATTGATGATGGGGGAGATCTGGTGTGCAGCATGATCTCACCCTGTCTCCTGTGTCTGAGCACTCCTGCACAGCGTGTTAAGATTAACAGAATCCCCTTCTAGTGTAACCCAAAAACACCCTGTCAGCAAACACACATCCAACCTAAAGGAGGGAAATGACAGACTCTGTTTTAATGGCTCAAACATGGGAGGAGAGTTTATTGTTATAATTATATTTAATTTCTCAAAATTCTGGGCAGGCCTCAGCACATAAGCCACATGACTTTTTGTCCAAGGCCATGTCTACCCTGGAGTTGCTTTATGACAGCATCCATAGCCACCTTGACAGGTCGATGTCACTTCTGTGCCTGCCCAGTTGTCTGTTGATTAAAAAGACCAGCACATTTTTGGTGGGCTTCTTGCGTTTGAAGGATTTGTCTGATTTCTTGATGTTCAGTGCGGTCTCTCTGGGGCTGCCTTTGGGGAGTTCTTTATCCATGACTTGTTGACTCCACACAACCTCAGTAAAACAGCACCACCGAGGAAGCCTGAAAAAGATGATGCATTCTAGGTCATCAAGTGGACCCGACAACCTCTTCCTCACTGGCACAAAACCACACACACACACACACACACACACTGCTACCAGCAGTAGTCACAGGAAGCACCAACCGTATTGTTTCTTCAATCTGTCTTACACACGGGTTTGTGCATCAGCCTGATGGGACCTGGGACTTTAAGGACACACTGTTGCATCACTCTGATCATTACCTGTCACACACAGGCTTGTTAGACTATACACAAAACACTACCTTATAGCTCAAGTGTCGTTGTAATTCTTATACCCACACTAATGTTAACTGGATTTTATGTTGCTTTTTTTCAGAGCTGTCTTCTTCTCACTTCTGAGTTTTCCCTGTACCTGGAATATGGGCTTCCTTCTGAACTACATTATTAATGTTGTACAGAGTAATTCTCTTTGGTAAATCTGTCCATAACAGAGTTCAGTACTTTACATTTGCATTTCTTCATTCTACAACTTGCAGGCTGCTATAATTTGTTTCCTCATTCCAAATCTGTTTACGTGACTTTAGCTTCAAATAGGATTTGCCTCCTTTGAAAATCACTGGTGAAGCAGGTATGAATCTTAGTCCAAACCCCTGTGTAGGAAATAAACTGGACATTCTCAAGTGCTACCTAGTTTCTGTTTCTAAGGTCCATCCTGCTGATTTTCCATCCTGGGAACGTAATCACAGTGGCTTAAAGATTGTACTCACCTCTGATACCTGGCCCTGACATCCCCCAAAACCCTGTTCTGCATTTCATTTGAATCTAGCACAGATTCAAAACAGTGTTCTCTATTTTGACCTCTCAAGAGAGATTAAAAACCTTGCCCAAGTGACAGAGAGGTGAGATTGGAACTGAGAAAGCCTGTATCTGAAGCCTCTGCTTTTACCCACTGCTCTATAGTGTCTCTGTATCAATTGGAACAAATGACTCTCTGATAAACTCCCCCCATTACCAAACAGGGTTGGGGTTTATCAGGTAGGTTAGTTAGTTAATGGCACAAAAGGATGCTCTATGATCTTGGTATATCAGGATATTTTACCTGTGAGACCACTCAGGTTTCTTTTGAAGAAAAGATCTGGACCAGAGGGTGAACAGCAACAGCTTGGCACTCTCTCTCTTTCCTTGAGTCCCAGGGCCTGATTGGTTCAGTACCAAGTGAAGTCATAGTTACTATGGTGACTCACAATTGCCTTCAGAACCTAGTGCAGATTCAAACACTGGCCACCATCCCTGGCTTCCTTCTGGTTCACGCCTGAATAAGGTGAGTGGAAGTTGCTGGGAGAGGAGGTGAGTATATCCTGTGGCCGGGTGCCATATGCATGTCTCCTTCCTAGACAGAACTTGCCTCAACTATCCTGGCCTCAGAGCTTGTCCCTGGCTCATATAAAATCCATTAAAATTTCTCCTTTGTGTAAATAAACAGCACCCATTGCATCTTGCCTTGTCCCCTGGGTAGTGATCAGCAACTTTGTCCGCCATGTTCCAATCCAGGAACTAGTTCCAGGTCAAATTTCCTACTTGCTTCTCAATCTTGCATCCATCCTTGGTCATGACTCTGCAAGTACTCCTTCTATAATACGCAATATATGTAAATGGAGTGTTTAGTTGCAGAAATTGAACACTTCAATTAAACATTGCTGTGTCTCCCACACTTATCTAAACCCTCTCAAAGCTCAGAGCAGTGGAGCTTCACACCTTTATTCTGTGGATCTGGGATGCAGGTGGGTTTTTAATGCTTTGGAAAATCTTATGCTAAAACTGGACCAGTTCCTTGAGACATATTCCCTTCCAAGTCTCTGATCTAGAATAACTACATTGCTACCATTACAGTGTGACCCACGTGGGTATTGTCTAGATGCAGGACATGGATTTTCCAGGCTGTCAGAGGGATAACCGTGAGGACAGCGCTTTGTGTTTTTTGTAGTGTGGTTCCCATGAGGAACTAAAATGACTATTATGAGATGTGGCTTGCCTCCTCACTGGCTGCCCAGTCAGTCTTATGTAAGAACTAAGGAAATTGATGTTACTATAAAGTGACCCAGGTCACACACTCCCTTCCTTGAGTGGCAGGGAAGGAAGGCTCACTCCTCCAGGTTTTCTCCCAGCCCGCATAGAATCATGTAAAGACCCTGAGACCATGTTCAGTGTTCTAAACAATTTGGAGCGGGAAGATAACTTATTGGTGTAGTTTATTAACAAAGAAAGTGGAAAACTCTTTCTTTTAAGGAACTGACATCCTAGAAATCCAAGTCAATCACCTAGGAAATAGACCAGGAGAGGCTGATTGACAGAACTTATATGCATAAAAACTTTGCATACTAGGTCAGGCACAGTGGCTGTCACCTATAATCCCAGCACTTTGGAAGGCTGAGGGGAGTGGATTGCATGAGCCCAGGAGTTCAAGACCTGCAGTTGGCTTTGGATCATGTCCAGCATGCTCCAACTGTAATACAAAAACCCCCTAAGGCAGACGGTCATGGCGATTGCCATAAGCAGTCCTGTAGATGCAAAGATGAGATGTAGCTCTGCAGGGCCAGAGTCTAAATATGTAAGTCAATGTCAGAATCTTTTTGGCACTGACTGTTCCTTAAATAGGTCAATACTCACCGTTTATGAAAATTTTCATTGAACTGGAGCTACATTCCCTTTCTATAGATAGTATGTTTTTAATTTTTGTTTTTAAAGTGACCCAGGTCACACACACCCTTTCTTGAGTGGCAGGTAAGGCAGGCTCGGTCCTCCAGGTTTTCTCCTGGCCACATAGAACCATGTAAAGACCCTGAGGCCATATTCATTGTCTTGAACAATTTGGAGAGGGAAGATAACTTATTGGTGTATTTTATTAACAAAGAAAGTAGAAAACTATCTTTCTCTTAAGGAACTTTGACATCCTAAAAATCCAAGGCAATCACCTAGGAAATAGGCCAGGAGAGGCTGATTGATAAAAGTTAAATGTATAAAAACTTTGCACACTAGGTCAGACACAGTGGCTCTTGCCTTTATAGGCACTTTGGAAGGCTGAGGGGAGTGGAGTGCTTGAGCCCAGGAGCTCAAGACCAGCCTGGGCTACATAAGGAGACCCCATCTCTACAATAAAAATAAATGAATCCATAAATATATTAAAAATTTGCAGTCTTCCAATAAATAGGGAATATCATAGATTTAAGCTATCCTATTTACATTGGTTGCAAATATTATGAAATACGTGGAAAAATAATGAAATATAAGGAAAACACACATGCCACTTTTTATGAGCCTTCAGTTTGAATATACACATAATATTTTAAAATACTACATTTTTCTTAAAAGGAAGATCAATTTTTGCAATGGCATCAATTCGCCTCTAATAAAATCAATATATCCAGTACAATCCTAATCATAGCTTGTAGCAGAATTTTGAGTATGTGTGTGTAACTGGAAGATCAGGTGAAATTATATTGCCAAAAAATGTGAAGGATTATGCAACAGGGGTAGCTTGTCATTCCAGACTCAAAACTTACTCTGTAGTATTAGTGAATGAAGCAGGAATTGATAGACTTGTCCATGGGCCAACAAAGAGATTCTAGAAATATATTCATGCATATGTGGAACTCAAAGAAATTATATACCTGGCATGTAAAAATCACAAGTTGCCACAAAGCTGACTTTTATGATCGTGTGGGTTAGAGAGGAGAAGTGCAGAGAGGTTTTGGGGGCTACTTGATGCTTCTCCTTCAGGTAATTCTAGATTCCATCAACTTTCACAGGTCTCTCTTCTGTGCTGTCTTCCTGAAGCCATCTGTGGAGTCAAGCAGTCATGGCTCAGGCACACTCTGAAGCTGGTCCCAGCACATCTGCACGGAGCATCAGGAGAAAGGCGGACGAATACGTGAGACCCAGCCTGGCCTCTAAATCTGTGCTGAGTGTCTTACTCAGTAGACAGCTTGGGAATCATAGAAACGATGTGGATCTGACAGAGTGGCTGTGGACACTGACACAAACCACACCAGGGTGGACCTGGCCTTTGCCAACACGCCATACAATCAACCCACCTTTGCACCCTGGGGAGGATAGAAAATCCAAGAAAATGGTGTGGATCAATAAATCCTTCCCCTGATGCAACCATTACAAATGGAAGCTGTGTTCTCACTGCTTTTGGTTGTACATGGTCTTTCATTACCTAGTTTCTTGACTTCTGCCCAGTCTCTGTGTTACCCGAGGCCACAGCAGATGAACTTTACCTACTCCCCCCTGAGAAGGTGTTTACTAACGTTGTAGAGTCTGGGGGTGTTGGAGCCACGAGGGGCCCTGTTTCGAGAAGGTGGAAGGGCAGCTGAGTGGACACGTGGAGAGGCCCTGCAACCCTAAATTTCTAAGGGGAGGGGCCTTTAAGGAGCCCGCTTAGAGGTCTTGATTTGTCTCCCTTGAAGTTTGGGGGAGAGCATGGGTAAAAATTGAAATCAAATAAATTTAAAATGAGAGTGGCTTGCAGAGTGGGGAGAGAATTCTCGCAAGAGATATACTTCTTAAATTGAGAAAAAAAGAAAGGGAGCTAAAGAGGTAATCAGAAATGCTCAGGAAATAAAGAATGGTCTTTCAAGTGTTGATGCAAAATAACTTTGAACCTACAATTCTACTTCTAGCCAGACATTCAAGTGCAAGGATAAATTAGCATACAAGGTGTTCAAGTGTGTGTTCCCTGGAAATAGACCCTGAGGCACACTTGTGAGTAGAAAGCACTAACTTTAGAGAGAGTCCCAGACAGCACAGGTAAGGGTATGGGGAGGTGAGACACACAAGGAATGCAGCCAATTTAAATGGGAGGAATAAGCTAGCAGGTTTCCACTGTGGGCAATTGGAGCTAATTCCCAGGGGGGCCCTATGGGAGACTTTGTAGAACACACATCTCGCATTCATCCCAAGTGCAGGATGAGATGGCTTGGGGGTATTTAGCCACCAAAGTCGCAATCATACTTATTAAAGTACTTCCCCTGTGGGAGATATAAATCCCTATCACCTTCAGTTGGCCTTGGGTCATATCCAGCATGCTCTAAGGGTGAGACAAAAAGCCCCCAAGGCAGAGAGTCATGGCGATTGCCATAAGCAACGCTATAGATGGAAAGGTGAGACCTAGCTCTGCAGGGCCAGTGTCTAAATACATAAGTCAGTGTCAGAATATTTTTGGCACTGTCTGTTCCTTAAATAGGTCAATACTCACCGTTTGTGAAAATTTTCATTGAACTGAAGCTATATTTCCTCTCTATAGATAGCATGTTTTAAATGTTTTGTCAATTATCAATTTTAATTGGAAACTGATTGCAGGACCTCTGTCCCAGAGAGTTGTGAAATACGTGTTTAGCCATCGAACGAGCATTGTAGACATCAAAATATTCCCCCTGGGGAAAAGAAAGCAGGATTTTTGTAGTGTGTCCTGCCTGCAGATGTGCCATGCTGGGTGTTAGGCACAGGTCTCTCCCTGGGATTTCATGGAGATCTTGGGCTGGCTGTTTTATCAGAAACTCTATTCTTGCAATTCAGCCTAGGGGAATCCAAGCTGCAGTGTCTCACCTCTTGCTGAGGGGTTCCTCAGCATGTGGAATTCAAAGAACCTCCTTCTCTCCAGGTCTCCCATAGTAGCTGGAACTTTATTCATGTTCCTATCATTATATTCTCTATGGAATGGGATGAGTTGCTGGTTAGCTTGCTCCCACCCACCTATGCCCATCCAGGCCCACGCTCAGCACACTGTCCCCATACTGGGTGCCCCTATCCCCAGGGATTCTTGGAAATGCTGTTCTGGGTGGTGACTCCATTTCAGCACTGACATAGCCACTGGCAGCCACAGATGGCCTTCTCAAGCTTGTGTTGGGAGTCTAGTAATGAATCCTTTTTGTCACAGTTCAGATGGAACTCGCAATGCCCAGCTCCACTGGTGTTGTTTTTCACCTTTCTTCTGTCTCCAATACTCTTCCTTTCCTTTGCAAGCCTCTCAATACTTTGCCATTTTGTTCCAGTGTCACTGCATACAGTTATGCATACAGGGGTGTGTGTGTGTGTGTGTGTGTGTGTGTCTGGGTAGAAGCTTCTGGAAGAGCCCAGTGGTTGAGTTGGGACGGTTGTGGGAGCTACAGACACCAGGTGCTCTGGGGCTGGCCAGGGGCTTGGGTGGGGAAGTGCATTTATGGGAGTGGGGCTGGGGTCAAGCAGGTGTAAAACCCTGCAAAGCAGCTCTTGGTGAGTCTGTCAGGGGAAGGGGATAGGCATCTAGTGGGAAGGAGTGGGATGGGAGTAAAGGCAGCATCTATAGTGCTAAACTTTCCAGGAAGAAAGAATCACATTCTCTATGCATGCAACATATTTTAAAATTTAAAAGTTGAAGGGTAACTTAAAAATAAAAATAAAAGCCCAAGATTAGACCAAAGTCAAAACATTGTGATGAGGCTCGTAAGTTCTCCTGGGAGTCTATAGATGAACATTTCTAAGATTGCTTGAATGGGTCCTGGGTTAGACAAATAAGTTAATGGATGTGTGATGGTAGAAGCCACATTTCTCACTCTTGGTGAGGAAAGTTAGTTGAGTGAATGAGACAGCTACAATGACGCATGTGATAAGAGATTAGAGTTGGAGAGATTGGTATGAACTCATGCTTATGTTAATATAGATAAAGAAGGGTAGATGTAGAAACATTTATAGGTATGTGTGTACACAAGATATATTAGTGTCCTATTGCTGCTGTAACACATTTCCACAAATGTAGTGGCTTTAAACAAACAAAAATTTCTTTTAGAGTCTGGAGGTCAGAGGTCTAACATCAGGTTGCTGGTTAGGGCTATGTTCCTTCTGGAGGCTTCAGGGCAGAGTTCAATTCCTTGCTTTTTTCAGCTTCTAGGACCGGCCTGGCTTCCTTGTTTCATTATTCCTTCCTGGCATCACTCCAACTTCTTTCCATAGTAATGTCTCCTACTATGCACTCTGATCCCTCTGCCTCCCTCTTAAATGTCTCTGTGGTTCATGTATTTGGGGATCGAAGAAGGAAGAGAAGGGACTGTGAAAGGCAGTTGCACAGAAACTATACTGGGACCATGCTTGGACAGGGTTGTATGACAGGCAAAGTCTCTGCAAGACACATTCCAGGGACAGCAGCATGGGGCCACCACCCAGAAGGGTATGAGGGCAAGGGAATTTCTGAGAAAGAGGAGGAAACCAGAGAAGGGGCTTACATGAGTAGGTGATGTCATCAGCAGCAAGGTGGGGAGTTCTCTGGGTCACAGAGCTTTGAAGGGCAGCAGTGGTTTGGGGGTCTTTTATAGCTATTGAGTTTGTCTTTTCTATAGTTAGTGAATATGGGGAGCAGTTTTGTGAGAAATGGAAAATAGGTACTTTCTAAAGGACTTAAAAATACGTTTTCAGATTATATTTAAAGAGACTGAATATATGAGAATGTGAGTTTGGGACCAGTGGGCTTTGAGGCAATAGTCCTAGCCTGCTGTGAAGAAGTAAACAACATGGGGATCATTTTAAGTCAATAGGGTGCATTTCTGGCTCATTTGTAGAACATGACTCTTGTGATTATATGAGGCCCACTCCCATAATCTGGGATAATCTCCTCATGTCATGATCTTTAACTTAATCATATTTGAAAGTTCCTTTTTCGTGTAAGGTAACATATTCACAAGTTATGGGGATTGTGAAGTAGACATCATTTGGGGATCACTATTTACCTACCATGCATGAATCAGCTTGCACGCACATGATTTCTTCCTCTGTCGGCTGAGAGAGCCAAGAAGCAATGACAACCAAGTAGTAATGAGCACACCTAGAGCCCAAACCTTGGTTTCTAATGTCATCCAACAATAAAAGGAACCAGGACTCTTTGGTTAAATGACTGATTCCAAGGCTGAGCCTGGGATTGTACAACATGAGCCTGGAGAATCTTGTAATGTCAGTAAGCACACACACAAACACACACACAATGATGGGAGTATGGCAAAGAGACACAGGAGCCTGCTGAAAGTGCTCCCAATGGCTAAAGCTGGAGCAAGCTGAGCAACAGAACAGATACAGTGCTTTTGGATTATAACTTGAAATACAAAATAAATATCCATGAGTCCATACTGATATAAATAAATAGGGAGAAGAGACAAATCTCCTTTGCAGAATAATTCCAATTTTTTACAGATATTTTACCCAAGATAAGGTAGAAAAGAACTCTCCCCTCCTTAATCATATGCTGTCCATAGTAATCTCCCTCCAAAGAGTAGAATATGGTAAGGCAGAAAAACGTACCTTTACTGCTGAGAAAGCTGATACACACTACCTCAGCCAGGTGACCAAAGTTGAACTTAACTGTCATGTCATGTGGATTGTATGCTCTCTTGGTAAGGGGTGATGAGAATGGTACTTTCTTTCTTGGTCTTCCTCTCAAAAAGCTGTAACCCCAGTGTCATCATGAGAAAATCACCTGGCAAATTCCAGTTGAAAGACATTCTACAAAATACCTGGCCAGTAGTCCTCAAAGTTGTCAAGAGTCATCAGAAACAAGGGAAGTCTGAGAAACTATCACAACCAAGAGCACCCTAAGATGGCATGATTATTAAATATAATGTAGCATCCTGGATGTGAGGTTGAAACGGAAAAAGGACATTTGATTAAAATGGTGGAAATCTGAATAAAGTGAGGACTTTGGGTCATAATAATGTATTAGGATCAATTAACTAACTGTAACAAATGTACCACTTTAGTGCAAGACGCATAGGGGAAACTGGGTAAGGGATATGAGGGACCTCTCTGTACTATCTTCATAACTTTTGTATAAATATAAATCTCTTTTAAGGTAAAATGTCTAGATAAAACAAGCAACAACAACAAGGCCACTGCCAAATCTAGTCTGAAGACAACAAAACAAGAACATTACCCAAGTCACAAAAGGCACCAAACACCTGCCATCCTGGCTGATGTGAGTGACTACTCCTTCTGTGCCAACAATAGCTTTTTTCAAATCTTCATTTCTCTAGGATAAGGTTTACAAATATACCCAGTCACAAAATTACCCCCCCCCCCCCCCACTTCCTGACAGCATCCAATCCAGAGCCAAACCCTACTTCAGGAAACCCTCCTCTAAATTGCCT